TTAATATTGATAAAGTATAAAATATAATAATAAATTTTGATTTTTATGTTTAATATATTACAATCGATAAAATTGATTGACATCGTTGTGATAAATTTGATCAGCATCATTGCGATAAATTTGATTGGCATCATTGTGGTAAATTTGATCGACATATTTATCAATTTAATTGGTTAATTTATTAGTACTCTAGTATTAATCAAAATTTTTATTTTTGGTGATTGAATAGTATCCGTTACTATTCAAGGGAGATATTTTGCAAAGGGGTACTAATGTCAGTGCTATACAGTACTCAAATTGCAATAAATTATGATGATCTAACAAATTTCAACCAGCACTATTATATAAATTTGGTCAGAACTTTGGATATAATAATTCATCACATAAGCTGACATAAAACTGGCAAACTAATAGAACCTCCCAGGTATCCTACCAGTTCTATAACAATTTTAGGAGAGTTCTATAACACTACTAGGATGCTATCACGACACTATCATGATACCAAATTGGATTCTCAAATTACATACATAAAAGATCGACCAGAGTTATACCATAGAGCCAGCCAAAATTAATCAAAAATTTACCACGTCACTTGTTGCCTCTTTTTTACACCATTTCAGTATTTTAAAAGGCAACCAAATAGGCGCAAAGGGTAAGCACTGCAATATGAAATCTAACACCCATTCAGACGTAAAAGGCCAGAATCCTCAACAAAGAATCAGACATCCAAACAAGGATAGAAAGCTAATATCAACAATATAGAATTTAATATGTAAACAAATCAGGAATAAGAAGAAAGCAGTCACAATTAGATTATGATATCACCATTAATTTAAATTAAGACCATCCACTGTTAGACTATGAAATTACCGTCATATTATACAGGAAATAATTAAAACAATGCTATAAACGTAAAGAAGCTACCCATAAGTAGATTATGAAGTCACTATCAGATTATGAATAGTAGGTTATGAAGTTACAACTAGATCATGAATTTAGATTATGAAATCACTTTATATTATGAAGTTACTGGCAGACTATGAAGTTACCATTATATTATGAAGTTACTAGCAGACCATAAAGTTACTATTATATTATGAAGTTACCAACAGATTATGAAGTTACCTTCATATCTTAATGCAAGTCGCATGTGACTTACATAATATAATTATATTATGTAAGTCACATGCGACTAGTTCATGTAAAAGGCAAAATTTAACAAGTCAGTTTCTATTAGTTTTAAGAAGCAGGCCTATTATATTATATTTTAGTTTCATTTTTTTTATTTTCATTTTTTTCTTATTATCTCTTTTATTTTTCTTTTATCTTTATTTCTTAACTCATAAATAAACTTATTATTTTAAAATATAATTACTTGGTGAATTTTGAATTAACATTTGTAAAATACTCATATAAATACATTTCCTTAGAAATTAAATTATTAAATAGACTTGTAAATGTTAAAGATTACTATACAATTAAAAAGAATCAATACTCAAACACCCTGTCTAACAGTTATAGTTCACAAGAATTACATATTAATAGTATATAATAATAATATTTAGACTTTATTTTACTAACAATTATTTAATAAGATATCAAAAATCTAAACTATTTTAAAAAAATTAAATGCTTACTTTTATTAATTACTTTTTTTTAAGTAATAATTAATTATTCTAAAGTATAAAAAAAACTATTAATATCTAAATAGTTTAGTTTATATATATTATGATTTATATATTTAATTAAAAATTAAAGTTATTTATATGATTAAATTTTATTATATATTTTATATTTTATAATAATTTTTAAAACTATTTTTAGTATATATAAATGATTGTAAAATTAGTTAATAAATTAGTTTAAAATAGAATCATATTTTTAATTTTTAATTTAATCTTATTACTTATATTAATTAATATTTATATATATCAAATTATTAATACTTTTATTTAAATATTTAATAAAAATTTTAACATTTTTTTTATTAATGTTTAACTAATATAAAATCATTTGTAATCTTTAATTATTGATTTAATAATATTGATAAAAAATTAATTTTAAAATTAATTTAAAGATGTTTACTAAAACTCTCTCAAAATAATTTTGTTATATTTCTTACTATGTTTTTAATATAGTTTTAGCTAATTTTAGATTTCAGGATTTTGTATTATTTCTTACTATGTTTTAATATAATTTCAGCTATTTATTCATTGCCTTTTTTGGGTTTCGTCCTTCATTTTTAAATCAATTATATTTTATATAAAATAATAATGAATAATTATATAAAAAGAGCTTATTATGTAAAGTTTAATGATAAATTCTTAATAATCAGTGATCATATCAGGGATCAGTAGGAATTAGCACAGGAAGTTGATTTAATTAGAGAATCAACATTCATATTGAATACATTTTGTAAAATCATTTTTTAATTAAATCTTATATAATAAAGTACACTAAAATTTTATATGTGATTTAATGCTAATTCGAAGCTATAGTATATTAATTTTTATTATTATCAGTAAAATATTAAGTAACTTTTACTAGAAGCATATTTTTACGAAGTGAAAAATAATCAACCTTCAATTATATTTTAATGTAAAAATGTTATTTCACTATGGTTTGTAACGTGAAATACAAAGACCTAAAGTGGATATTTTCGTCTTTTTATTAACAAAAAATAGTATTAATAATTTGCATTTTTACATTCTATATTGACTATTTTTTGTCAGAAAAAAAATAAAATTAGTAATATCAGAACAAAGCTATGAAATTTTCTCCCCTTGCCTTCTCTATTTTCTATAGACTTGTTAGGAGAATCTGATGATGAAATAAGCAGTAATGATGAGTTTGAATATATATTTAATGAAACACCTTGTAATAATAATATTAGTGATATATGCTTTAAATACTTTGAAAAAAACTAAGAAAGTGATTATAAAACATTTGAAAAAGATGAAATTATAGATAATTTGAAACATGCTAAATATACACCATGTGTAGTTATTAATTTTATCAAAGATAAAATTCAACAATGTAAAGAATCAATAAAACTAAGACAATTATGAAATTTATAGTAGTGACAGAAAATAATGATAATTATTAGGTCATATGTTTTTTAATCAATTTTTATTTTATTTATATGAAATTTTAATGGTATATAATGTAATACTATATGTAAATAAAAATAAAATTTTAATGGTTAATTATATGACCCTTCTTTTCAATAATATCTTCTAAACATTTTTTCATACTTGTATATAAATTCAATAGGAGGTCTGAATCAAGATTTTTCTATTCAGATTGAATATTTGATAAAAAATCATTTAATTCAACCATTTCTTTTGTATTATAAGTTGATTTACCTTTTTTTCCACCTTTTTTTTCATTATTGCCCATAAGTTCTCTATAGGATTGAAATCTGAAGAATAGGATAGTCAATCAAGCATTCGCAGACATTTTTCTTGAAGAAGAATTGTTATTAATTTTGCCTTATGCTTGGAATCGTTGTCCTGTTGAAATGTCCACCTTCTTCCAAGAACTCTGATAGCATTAGTAAAAAGATTTTTAGTTAAAATATTCTGATAAAGTTCTCCATTCATATTTTCAGTAAAATAATGAAACCCTACAATTCTGCGTGCATAGAAAGCATCCCATATATGAACTTGAGTGGATGTTTTACAACTGTACGTCATGGTCTTTCTTCTCTAATAATTGAAACATGGTTTCATCAGAAAAATAACTTTTTCCCAATTTTCATTTAGATGAGATTTTGACTATTCAACCCTACGTTCTTTGGCAGCGATAGTTAATATTGGTATATATGTTGGTATACAAACACAATAACTAAGATTAAAAAGATTTTCACAAATGGTTCTAGGAGTAACATTAAGGTTTGGATATGTTTGATTAAGTATAAAATCAATTTTCCTTACTAGTTGCATATTTTCTTATGCTAGCTAATTTTCCAAGATGAACCCATTTTTTGAAGACAAATGTTTTGGCTTTCCAGAACGTGATTTTGGTTTAATAATACTAAAATTTTCAAGTTTTTGGATATAAGTGTATAATGTGGATTTCAGAATATGTGTTATTTTATGTAATTCATTAATATTATAGATTTCATTTGCCTACAAATTGCTTACAAATGACAGTTTTTCATTTAAAGAGAATTTTTTTGCCATAATGAAAAAAGAGATAGATAAAAAAATTTTTTTGCTAATCTTGTGATTATTTATTTATTTATATTATGGATCACATGTTGGTTTAATAATTATGCAAAAAAATAAAGAGTTAATTATTAAAAAGGAAGTGATAAGCAATATTAATCAAGTCACGTGATATTATTATTACTTTTCGCCACTACTGTATTTGGTAGGGTTTCCGTTTGAAAATAGAATATTTGAATATTTGTTTGTTAAATAAAAAATCAAATATTTGAAATTGATTGACTGATTTCAAATATTCAAAATCATTTTAAATATCAAAAATGATTTCGGATATCAAAAATCATTTTGAATATCGAAATTGATTTTGAATATCCAACAACAGCAATATATTATTAAAAAACAAGGATTAAATTCAGTTTCTCTGATTGTTAACCTTTCGCGTGAAGTTAAAGTTTCTAAACCTAATCAGAACAAATTATCAAAAAATTTAATAATAGGAACTTCAATGGTTTTTATTAGTAGAATTTGCTTGTTGGCTTATTATTTAAAAAAAAATATGAAAGAAAATTATTATGCAAATAACTAAATATTGCCAGACTTGTCAATCCAGCCAAAAATCCCTTTTTGATGACTGTAATCGTTGCATGAAAATCATTTTGAATATCGAAATTGATTTCTGATTATCGCAATTTAAATATTTACCAAAATATTTAGTAAATCCGATTATTGATCAACTGTTTATTTTAATTTTAATTTTACTTTTTTTTTAATTTAATTTTATTTTATTTTATAGGTTAGTTTAAAAAACTTTTTTTTAAATTATAGGAGGGTTTCTTTAAGGATGGGTTTTTTCTCTTTACTAATTTTCTTTTTTTAGGAACAGATCTTTTGTTCTTTTAGGTAAGTTTTCTTTCTTATAGTGGGTTCTTTAGGATTTCTTTAGGGATTTCTTTTTTCTCTTTACTGATTTACTTCTTTTTTTTTTTAGGAACGGATCCTTCAGATAGGTAAGTCTTCTTGGGTTCTTTCTTTAGATTTCTTTGAATTTCTTTGGGATTTCTTTAAGATATCTTTCTTCTTTTTACTGATTTTTATTTATTTTTTTTTTAGGAACGAATCCTTCGTTCTTTTGGGATAGGTAAGGCTTCATGAGTTCTTTCTTTAAGTTTCTTTAGATTTCTTTGGGATTTCTTTGGGGTTTCTTACTGATTTTACTTCTTTTTTTTTTAGGAACGGATCTTTCAGATAGGTAAGTCTTCTTGGATTTTTTCTTTGGATTTCTTTGGGGTTTATTTCTTCCTTTACTGATTTTTATTTTTTTTTTTTTAGAAACGGATCCGAATTCTTTTAGGATAGGTAAGGCTTCTTGGGTTCTTTCTTTAGAATTTTTTTAGGGGTTTCTTTGGGTTTCTTACTGACTTTACTTCTTTTTTTTTAGGAACAGATCCTTCAGATAGGTAAGTATTTCTTGAGTTCTTGCTTTGGGTTTCTTTGGATTTCTTTGGGATTTCTTTCTTCTTTTACTGATTATTATTATTATTTTTTTAGAAACGGATCCTTTGTTCTTTTGGGATAGGTAAGGCTTCTTGAGTTCTTTCTTTGGAATTTTTTTGGGGGTTTCTTTAGGGTTTCTTACTGATTTTACTTCTTTTTTTTAGGAACGGATCCTTCGGATAGGTAAGTCTTTTTGGGTTCTTGCTTTGGGTTTCTTTGGATTTCTTTAGGATTTCTTACTGATTTTACTTCTTTTTTTTTAGGAACGGATCCTTCGGATAGGTAAGTCTTCTTGAGTTCTTTCTTTGGGTTTCTTTGGATTTCTTTGGGAATTCTTTCTTTCTTTACTGAATTTTTTTTTTTTTTAGAAACGGATCCTTCGGATAGGTAAGTCTTCCTTGGATTCTTGCTTTAGATTTCTTTGGATTTCTTTGGGGTTTCTTTCTTCCTTTACTGATTATTATTTTTATTTTTTTAGAAACGGATCCTTCATTCTTTTGGAATAGGTAAGGCTTCTTGGGTTCTTTCTTTGGATTTGGTTACTTTGAGTTTTATCTAGCCTTGATTGTATGCTAAGATTACTGGGTTTTTTTAAAAGTTATTAACAGTTTATCATGTAAGTTCACATAATGACAGACACGAATGAAAACTTGCAAAATCTGAATGGAAGAATCGAACCCATCAAAATGTTTAATTCAAGTTAACAATGTGTGAAATTTAGTAATTATCGATAACAGTAATTTTAAGGAGAAGATTTTTAAGTTTGATAATATATATAATGTTATGCGTGGTAACTTACATGCAACTCTAAGAATGGCCTTTTAAGCCTAATTGCTAATTGAAATAGAAACTGATTTGAAATAAGTCATTGAATTAACTGCTGATACTTTATTATTCAGAATGAATCAGAATTAAAGATGGGCATCATAATTAAGAAGTTGCAACTCGATAAGTTGCAACTTGAGTTGCAACTTGGTTACAACTCCTTGTAAATTTATTTTAATATAAAAATTCATAAAATGTTGCAAATCAAAGTGTTGCAACTTAAGTTGCAACCAGTTAAAAATTTTAAAATAATTATGGGAACTATCTTTAATCAGAATATTAACAAAATGTTAAGAAATTTTGTATTTTTTCAAAATATATAAGAAGGATTTCAAAATGAGCAATAATTCTTTTTTAAATATCATAGCAAATAAAGTGATCTTTCATAGATTAATCAAATGCTAGGAGAAATGGTCAAACATAAGATCTCACTTGGGCTAATGATACATATCGAAGGACTTTTATTCAGTTTTGATAGTCCTGTTTTTTAGTTACAAATTACTAAGTTTAGCGTTCTATTTAGATGTTCATTTCTTAGACAAATTTGAAGCTACAGTCGATTATCAATCAACCACACAAGTATTGGATCTTTTATAGGTTGTGATAGGGATAGCAATCAACATTTACATAAAAAAATGAAATGTTACTCTCAGAAATAATGGATGATGAAAATGATACTCACATTTATCTTAAGGTATAAAAAATATTCATTTTGTATCTTTTAATAATTTATTTCTTTTTTATTTAAAAAAATTATGCATAACTTATTATAATAAAAGATATGGTATTTATATTATAAGTAGGCTAGTATCTTAAAAATGCATCAGATAGAAATGCACATAGGAAACTTTAGTCTACAATAAAATTCTTTATCTGCAGCAGCTTTATTTTATGCAAGTGCAGCAAAATACAACTATACGATAGCTATAACCAATTATCTTAGTATTATAGCAGCTCATTCTAAATTGGAAGAAAGGTTAAATTATTGTAACATCTTTAAAATCCCTCATAATATTAACGAAGATCAAAAGCATGTTTGTTTTAGCTTTGATAAAGCCTTGGAAACATTTGGTATAAGGTTTATTAAGCAAAATGTTTGTAAAAATGTAATTGATGAGAAAAACCTTAAAGATCAGATAAAGTCTTTTCAGAATGAAAGAGATAAAATAAACTTGTTAATGAGCGAGTATCTTAATGATTATGCAGTTTCACATAGTAAACGAGCTGTAAATTCATATAAGAAAGCTTTAGGATACTTGTGAATGACCTTATAATAGTTTTTGAAATGTCTGATCCCTTATCACATCAACTATTCCAAGAATATACATTTAAAGAAATGCATAAGAAAGGGCTTAATAAGCTAATTAATTATTATCTAATAGTTTAGAACAAATCAAAGCAATATACTGGCAAGAAGTTCTAAAGACAAAATATAGAAATCCACAAGGTAAAAGGACAATAGGAGTTGTTAGGACTAAAGTGAATGATTATAATAGTAAAAAAAGGTTGAAAAGAGAAAAATAGTGGTTTCAGAAACTGCATAACTAGTAGCAGTAAGTTTAAATAAAATTTTACCTACTACTGAACCACAAACCAAACGAAGAAAAATGACAGGTATTAGGCATCGAATTACTGAAAATGAAACAGCAATTCTTTATGCATTAAAAATATACAAAAATTTATTTTCAGATGATATTATTGCTTCTGTTCATGAGAAATTGTCAGAAGTTTAAATTGTAAAAAAGGTGCGAGAGTAGTGGAATTATCATAAAGTTAAGTGAATTGTGATGAAACTATTATAAAATTGTAAATACTGTTCAATAATAATAATAAAAATATAGTTAACTGTAATAGTATCGCAGTGGTATCATGAGTAAATTACTAGATTAGTAATATATATCGTGAGTTGATCACAAATTTATGAGTTAATTAAATTAGGCGGTGATAAATAAATGGTTTATAAGACTGCTAAAATCAATCAATATTTTCAGTTTTTATTGAATTTGTTAACAATATAAAGAACATAAATACAATTTCTGCTGGTTAACTAATCGATAAAATAAAAATTGGCTATTTGCTTCAAAAATCACTAATCTAACCACCTTTTTACATCTAAGTATTTCAATTGTGTTTAAAAAAATACATATAGTTATGCATTTAAAACAGATTTTGAAAATTATATAAACTTGCATCTTAGGATTAAAGTCAAAAAAATAGGGAAAAGTTAGTTATATATAAAGTTTTTATACAAGGTTTATACTATAAAAAAAATATTAGAATAGATTGTTAAAAATCTCGAAATTGAAAAGTTCTTAAGGTTCTTTAGTTTGTTATTTGATCTAATATTACATTGTATTAAACCATTTATTTATGATTATTAATATTACACAAAATTTCAATTAGTGATCAATAAGTGATTTTTCTTATTTTAACATGATCAATAATTGTTAAATATTATTTATAGTATTATAACCTTATAATTATTATATTTAATATTTTATTTCTATTTAAATTGTATTGTAAAATTATTTGTAAATTTTACTTGTATATACTTATTTTAAGTAATTTCTTTTTTATCTATTTTTTGATTTTAAAAATAAAATAATTTTTAAAATTAGCTATCCCTTAAATAGTAATGGTTTTTATTTAAATTTAACCATAATTTTTAATCAATTATTATACAAAATTCTACATAA